GGCACTTGTCTGTGTGTCCTCTTGGAGGAAGAAATGCAAAAAATGAAGAACAGTTGAAATGCTAAAAATGCACAGGAAATGAAAATGAAAGGACAGGTGGCCCCACCTATCCAGTGTGACCCGGTGTCTCCCCTGGCTCCGCCCCCAGGCGCTCGGGCCTGCCGCGCTGGATCCTGGCTGCCTGCCTCTTCCTGTCCGTCATGGTGATGCTGTGGCTGAGCTGCGCCAGCCTGGTGACGGCGCCCGAGCAGCATGTCAAGACCCAGGTACCCGCCGCTCTCCGCAGGGAGCTGAATTTCCGTTTCTTACCGGGGGGAAAAAACAAGCTACACAACAGCTTGAACTGTCACAGCTGTCTGGCTCTCCAGGCTAAAGCTGCTCTTTTCTGCTCAGCTCCTGCAAAGCCTTTCAACACCCTAATACTGAGAGAATGCATTAGAAGGCTTTTCAATGGCTATTTTGTGTGTCTAATTGCAGCTGAGCATCAACGGAGACAAGGAGTTCTTGGACGACACTCGCAAAGTAATGCCTTACCCTCTGACCCCTGTGATTGCTGTAGCCGTCGGCCAATCAGACGAGGGCGAGGAGGCGGGGCCGCTGCTGGTCAAGGTGGACTTGGACAAGACCATTCTCTGAGAGTGGGGGGGGGAGGGTATGTGTAGGGGGGTTGTGGGATGGTGGAGGCTCTCCTTCTGCTCTTGCACTCTGTCGGTCACGGTCATGGATGGGAGCTGGGGGAGGTGGCGCACAAGGGGGTTTTCAAAAAACGCAAAGCACCATTCCATCGCTTCTCATCAGTCACGCGCCTGTTTGGGAGCTGTAAAATAGTTTTTACGCCCAATGAGATGTGGGTCTCTAGCCTTGCTTCTTTAGACATGTTTTCTGCACATTTTAGCTGCACGCGGGCATGCGCATGTGAAATAGCGTCTTAGGAGCCAGGGGCCTCGATCTTTCACTTGGGGCTGCATCTGCCACAGAGTGGGCAGTGGGCACGCTGTCTGCCCACAGGGGAAGAGTGGGTGTGGGGTTTTGGAGGACACTGGCAAATGATAAACCCAATGAGCCTGCTGGAGTGTGTTCAGGCTGTGAAGGGGCTGGGCTGTGCAGCAGGGGGAGACTTACAAAAGGCAGTGTCATGTGTGGCACAGAGGGGAGTGCTTCACAGACGCCAGGAAGCGGCAGTCCTGTTGGGCTTGCATTTCTGTCCCATGTGGGTCTGACGTCTCCAGCCTTGGCTCTCAATGAGATGGGAGGGTTGGCACAGCACTGTACCTAATCTGAATAGGACACATGGCTTATGACGATAAAGGCGCCGTGTTTGCCCAGAGAGAGTCATTGCACTGTATCGCTGCCCACCCTTCTCGGAGAGGTAGTTAGATTAGCTCTAGTCCTGAGTTTGCTGGGCGTCAGCTGACGCGCTTTCCGAGGGCGGCGTCGTGTGTTTGCTGTCCCAAGGCGTGCTCGGATCGCAGGAGATCTGGGCCGGCGCTAGCCGTGTTGACTCTGCTGCTGGGTTACCAGCAGAACGTGCTTCAGAGTTTCCATTTGCTATCTCCCCCTGATACGTCACAGACAAGGGCGAGAGAGAGAGATATCGGGGGTTTCTGATAAACGATCGGGTTCTCTGATACGGTCACAAGTACTGTTGTGAATGGTTCCTCCTGGCTCTTGAGCAAGCAGCAGTCTGCGCTGTCTCGAGGATGTGCTGTATCGCTGACCCTCCTGTGACTGAGCAGCCACACTAACAGTGCAGCCTGGCCACAGAGGTACCGAGCTACTAAGCTCGGGAGACCCTAAGGCACTGAAACAGTGTGTCAGTTGCACTGAGCATGCTTGTTCCCAGGTCAGTAGAACTGGACTTGACTCACCCTTGCAAAGGCATCGTCCCCTGTGCTGGTCCAGTAGCTCAAGAGGATTTGCTTGTGTGTGAGATGGAGTTTGTCACGAAGGTTCAGGAGGGAGGACAACAGCCAAGTTTACTTAGCCTTTGCTGTCAGTAAGCAGCAGTCACTCCTGATGTTATAACCTCACCTAAAACATTATAAATACTGTACATGATCCCTCTATTTGTCTGTTAGCTTCTCTCCCCCAGCCCAGCTCCCCCTCTGCAGCTGCCCCTGGGTCACCCCTCACTCTGGGGTCTCCTGGCCAGGAGCTCACTCCTCAGCCAGGCGGGTTCAGACAACTTTTTTTGGTGACTTAAAAGCTCCAGGAACCTTTCAGCATTCCTCATTCCTGGGCGTCACTCTCAGTGTCGCAGGTTAAAGCAGAGAGTCTGAGAGAAGACGGTTACAGCGTTCATTCTGACTGGATCCTGCTGTAGGGTTAACCAGTGACTTGCAGCTTGACGGAAAATTATTCCTCTTCTGTTTGTGCGCTGTCTGGTTAGGAAATGCCCCGTATATTGTAATCATCTGTTGGTTTCTGGGTGAGACGAGGATGTGAACGCGCAGTATCTAGAGCTCTGCGGTACGACGCAGTGCTCTCTTCAGGTTTCTCTGTGTCATCTTCACCTTGAGCCCAGCTCTTCTGCACCTTCTTCCTCATTCCTGCTGTTTCAGAATGACTTGCACACAATCTAATGAGTCACCTGAGCAGTGACTGCCATGATAATAGTTTAAGTGTCCATAAATCTGTCCTTCGGATGAGACGTAAAACCGAGGTCCTGACTCTCTGTGATCATTAAAAAAATCTCAGGGTGTTTCTCAAAAAGAGTAGGGGTGTAACCCCGGCGTCCTGCCCAAATTTCCCCCCTGGCCTTTACCAATCATGGCCTCCTAATAATCCCCATCTCTGAACTGGCTTCATCACTCTGCTCTCCTCCCCACTGAGAGCTGGTGTGTGGGGAGAGGACTGGAGCATCACCCAGGTGTTGGTGGAGAGGATCCCCATTACCTGTAAAGCGCTTTGAGTGGAGTGTCCAGAAAAGCGCTATACTGTATAAGTGTAAGCAATTCTTCTTCTTCTTATTATTATTATTAATTGCTTTTAAGGGGAAATGGTGACAGGCATGAGCCTAGGTGCAAAGTTCTGCTGGCACAGACTGTAGTTTGTTGGCTTAAATTGTTTTTCTTTTTCCTCAACTGGCTGTCTCGGAGAGCGCCCCCCATCGGCGCGGAGCCGTACCGTTCCGCCTGCCCCCCGCCCGCTTCCTCTGAGCAGGTTTTTACAGGACTCGATTCCGTATTGGCCTGAGCTTGAGACACTTAGAAAAAAAGAGGAACGTAATTGAAAAGCTTGTAGAAAATGCCTCCGCTGCCGGCGGTGTACCTCATTCTCATTACTCCGCAGCGCTTCAGTGATTCCCCTTTCACGAACGCAGTGTGAGCGGCTGACGTTATTAAAGAGGATATTTTAAGCATATTGCGTTGAGCTGTTTGGAATCTATAATGTATATTACGCTAAATCATCCTTGCTCTTGTGGCTTAATTAGCGATCGGATGTTTTTGTTTCCAATTCCATTTTTATTTTTATTTTATTTTTTGGCGCCGCGAGTGGATTTCTGTGTTTTCTCGTGTTGCGTGTCCAGCCCGTCCACGCCGCGAGCCCGCGTGTGTAAATAATCTTTGTTCCGCACCGCTTTGTCTTGACTGTCGGGAAACGATTTTAAGCCTCCGCTTTGCGAATTTCCCCATGTGAAAATAAAAATAAAGTTAAGGTAATATAGTAAAAATTAAAACATATATATATTTAAAAGCCACTTGTCCACAAATGTGACAATACGGTAAATTTGCGTAAACAATTCTCTCTTGCATTTCCTTTTTAATGTTTGTTTTCAATGAAAAGATGCAAAATAAAGTGTTCTCATGAGCTAATATCGTCTTGTTGTTGTTTTTTTAATTTGCATCTGTTGGGGCACGAGAGACTTTCTGCAGAGATACTCTGTAACCCACTGGAGCCCAGCAGGTGTGAGCCTGGCCAGTACCTGGACGGGAGACTCCTGGGAAAGCTAAGGCTGCTGCTGGAAGAGGTGTTAGTGGGGCCAGTAGGGGGCGCTCACCCTGCAGTCTGTGTGGGTCCTAATGCCCCAGTATAGTGACAGGGACACTGTACTGTAAACAGGCGCCGTCCTTCAGATGAGACATAAAACAGGTCCTGACTCTCTGTGGTCATTAAAAATTCCAGGGCGTTTGTCGAAAAGAGTAGGGGTGTTACCCCAGAACCCTCATAATCCCCATCTCTGAACTGGCTTCATCACTCTGCTCTCCTCCCCACTGAGAGCTGGTGTGTGGGGGAGCGGACTGGCGCATCATCCGGGTGGGGGTACACACTGGTGGGGGTGGAGGGGGATCCCCATTCCCTGTATACCGCTCTGAGTGGAGTGTCCAGAAAAGCGCTTATAGGTGCAAGGAATTATTATTTTAAATGCCTTTGTGTGACATTCTTCTCGTAACGATTGCGTGGACTTGGTGTTTATTGTACTTTGTCATTTTCTCAAATCAGGGAGTTTATTTGTGCAAGAAGAATGAGTTTAACCATTTGTGACTGAGCCTGTATAAATTCCCGAAGCTGGTCAGCTGTCGCTAACGCGAATTCAAATTGTGTTGTTTTCGCTTTCCTCAGGAAAATGAATGTAATGTTACAGCACTGTACCGCTAGAGGGCAGCGCAAACCGTCTGATTCCTCATGCTCGAGAGGATTCGGTCATTGGCCCCTACAGCCCATCGTGTGGTTAGTAACTAGTTGACTCGTGACAGAAGGCAGGGTTATTGACTTCAATAACATGGCTGGGCAGGTCGTTCATGACCCTCTGGGTAAAGAAATGCCTCCTGCTGTTCGTTTTAAGTGCACTTACCTGTATTTTTTCACTTGAGTTCTCTGGTTCATGTTGCACTGCTGGTTCTGAAGATGTTGAGAGGCTCGATTTCAGGATGAAAGAGTCTGCATTCAAAATGGGATTCAAAATGTTAGAAAGGCCTGGTGTAAAACTACCAATTTTTGTAGGGTAACTGTCGAGCGATCGAGAAAAACGCTCTGCTTTGATCCAGGTTGTGAGTTGACGTGTGCTGTAATCTACACTAGCACCTCCATCCACAGCGCTGCAGAACTGAGATTCTGTGTTATTCTTGTAATTCTGAGTATGGAAGATGAGACAATGGCCCCTGTCTTCCTGGTGCATTCAGAAGTGAAGCGCACACTCACAAAAATGCTATCCTCATACCAGGAAGCAGAAGGAGGGGTTTGTTTGACAGGGTGCGTGTCAGTGTTCGCCATCTGTTTGTTTGTTTTCCTGGGAAAGACAGTGACAGCTCGATCGGCCCGCCCCAGGAGTGACAGAGCAGTCTCCTCTCCCTGTGCAAGCGCAGGGTGCTGCTGTTTCAGCTTCGGATCACACTGGGTGCTCTGTGGTCCACTTTGCTCAGGAGGGCTAAGGCCTGTGTGGACGAGTGGATGAGATTGTCCTTTCTAAAGCATTTATTTCCATAAAGAGTGGTCTGAGTCACGAGCAAGCTGCTCGGTCACTGATGTCTGGCGTCTTTCAGGGAATGGATAGAAGAGATCTTCGGATCAGTTGCTGAACAACCAAATGAGACTGTTGGTTAGGCTCTCCTCACATGTAATCTTCCATATGCTCTTTTCTGATGACAATGTGAATTAGACTCAACACAGCTAGTGTGAACACTACTAGACCATCACTACACTCAACACAGCCAGTGTGAACATTACTAGACCATCACTACACTCAACACAGCCAGTGTGAACATTACTACACCATCACTACACTCAACACAGCTAGTGTGAACATTACTAGACCATCACTACACTCAACACAGCTGGTGTCAACTATACTAGACCATCACTACACTCAACACAGCTAGTGTGAACATGACCGGAACATCACTACACTCAACACAGCTAGTGTGAACATGACC